TCAACTAAAAAATTAAAAAGAAAAAAAAAAACAACATGTTGCCATGTGTATGTGTATCACAACATCTCATGGTGCCCTATTAATACATACAGTTTTTGTGTGCCAGTTAAAAAAAATAAAATTTAAATTTAAAGAAAATTTTAAGCAAAAGTGGAGCCTATGGTCCTTGGGAAGCTAAGGCAGGAGGATCGATGGAGGAGCCTGGGCAACATAGTGAGACCTCCACCCCATTTAAAAAGCAACTGTGATCCTAAAACAACAGTGATCATCTTTGCACCTTTCTTCCAGTCTTTGCAAGACACATGCACATGTTGACAGTCAGGAGCTGCAGACAATCACATTGTTTGCACGCCCTGCCGATTATTTTGCCCTTATGAATCAAGTGCAAAACAATCATTAATGCTGTTCTCCTTTCCATCGGCCGTTACAATAGTAAAGGGAAAATGCCATTGCAGACATTTCTAGGCAAAATCTCACAGGAGCAAAGTAAGCACATGGATGAACTGCCTGGAATTCATTCTCATCAGATAAGTATCCTGCAGTGAACATACCCTTGGGGTGCGTTTCCTATTCTTCTGGCTTCAGTTTCTCTGGTCTCTCTGCCAGTGGCTGGATGTGTCTGGTCAGTGGGCTCCGAGCATGTGTTTTGAGCATTAGTGGAGACTGTTGGATCAGTTGCTTCCTGTTCTTGCTGGTTTTTGCGGCAAGGGCACAGTCAGGATAGCTGCAGGGAAACCCTGAACAGTGGGCTGGCTGGTCCCTGCGACCCCAGAGAGTGTGAAGGATTTATTTCAGACTTTACAAGCCAGTTTCCAACATCGCTTTTGCAAGAGCCTCTCTGTAGATCCACCCTGTTTCTGATGTGTAGTACAGACCTAAGGTTATTTAAGGAAGCATTTGCCCAGCAAAAATTCAAAGTCAAACACCAAACCACCCCTGGTTTGAATGCAACTGGGGGGCTTATGGGGGTGGGATTCTAAGCCCCTGCCTGCTCCCCCTCCCCACCCCCACCACAAGAGGCATCGCTGGCTACACTGACCCATCTAGTGTCATCAGTGATTTATGGCCCTGCAGGGCCCAGCTGTTGGCCGTGGACAAGGCAGCTGCTCAAGGTTAAGCAGGCCCAATGTAAGGGACTTGTCGGGGGATGGCCCCAGTGCAGTTGTCCCCTCTCAGTGTCAAAGTGATGATCATGTGGCCAGTCTAGAAGCCAATGAAAGCTAAGGAGGAATTGTAGGGTACCCCTGCCCCCAATACCCACACTCGCCCCCATCCAGTAAGGCCCAAAGCTCTCCTCATAGCCAAATCCCCCAGATAAGTGGACTGACGGGTTATCTAGGAGTCCTGGCCCAGCCTGCAGGATCAGTAGGTTGTCAAAGCTGCTCCCCCCATGTCCTGTGGTGTCACTTGATTGTCACTCAACAAAGGACATGCAGGGGAGCAAGAGCTGAGAGAGTAAGGGAATATCCAGCTTTTTAACTGGCCCTTACTGAGCCCCAGGCTCTGTCCAAATGTTTCACTCGCATTTTCTCATCTATCCTTGCAACAAGCTAGTGAGGTAGATTTTACTAATATTATCTTAAACCTTTTGAAAATGAAGATTCATAGAGGTTAAGAAACTAATCAAGACCCCTGTCTCTGGAGTCAGAGCTTTTAACAAAGTGCCTGCTCTTGGCCAGGCAGTTGGCATGGCCCAGTATTCCCTCTCCCCATCCATGCTCAGAGGCCAGCAGGACAATCCCGGTTTGGAGTTGAGGATGCAGGTGTGGGGCCTTTCATCAGGTTGCTCAGGCAATGAGTGTGGGAGCTGGGAGTGTCTCTGGAATGCCTGACACCATGCTGTGCTCCTTTCCTACTCCTTCAGCTTCGCTGCACTCCCTGATGCTGGGGAAAAATTCAGGGGGACCCACTGTGCACTTTGTGCACTTGTTGCCAACAGGGGAGGAAAGCCTGGGGTAGATCCTGTGTCCTGCCTGCGCCCCCTGCTCACTCAACTGCACTTGATCCTTTCCCCTTCCCCGAACATCCTTCTCTCTTGACCTCAGTTAGTCCATATTTTCCTGGGTTTCTCTTATGCTGCTGGCTGCCCCTGTTGGGGCTCCTTGTCTGACTCTCCCTTCTCTCCCTCCACTGTGGAAGGGCCCCAGAACTTGACCCTGAACTTGTGTACCTGTTAGTGTCTTTGTACTGAGCCTTACTCATACCCACCTGTGACCTAATAACTTCCAATTCATTTCTCCTGCTCTAGATGCTCCTCTAAGAGATACACTTACCTGCTCCCTTGACATTTTTATCACTTTTATTGAGATTTAATTCATATCATACAATTCATCCACTTAGAGCCTATAGTTCAATGGGACTACATCTCCAGTTGTTTTAAAAAGACTACATCTAAGGGCCAGGATTGTGGCTCAGTGGTAGAGCGCTTGCCTAGCATATGTAAGGCACTAGGTTCAATACTCAGCACCACATAGAAATAAATAAAATAAAGGTATTGTGTCTATATATAATTAAATATATGAAAAAAAAGACTGTATCCCTGCTCTTTTATTTATTTATTTATTTTTAATTTTGAGCCTGTAGTAGTGGCACACACACCTGTAATCTTAGTGACTCTGGAGGCTGAACCAGGACGATCACAGTTTGAGACCAGCTCAGTAACTTAGGACATAAGGACTTAGTGATATCCTATCTCAATAAAACATTTTTTAAAAGGGATCTGGGGATGTGGCTCTGTGGTTAAGCAACCCTGGGTTTAATGTTTAATCCCCAGTATGAGATAGATATATATAAATAATTTTTTGTTTTTGTTTTGAGTCAGGGTTTCTCTAATTGCTGAGGCTGTCCTGGAACTTGTGCTCCTCCTGCCTCAGCCTCCCAGGTAGCTGGGACTACAGGTTTCAGCCTAATGTTTTTAAGGTCTATCCATGTTGTAACATGTGTCAGTTCTTCATTTCTTTTATAGTCAAGTAAAATTCCACTGTATCGGTGGAATTTATGAATGGATAATTTCATGTCTTCATTTATCCATGGGTAGACATTCATGTTTCTATTTTTTAGCTATTATGAACAATGATGTTAAGAAAATTGATGTAAACATTTTTGTGTGAATGTGTACTTTCATTTCTCTGGTATATATACCTAAGAGTGTGTTTTAGTCAGCTTTTTTGCCACTATGGCTAAAAGACCAGAACAAATGTAGACGAGGAAAAGTTTATTTGGGGGCTCACTATTTCAGAGGTCTCAGTCCATAAACAGCTGGCTCCATTCTGTGGGGCTAGAGGTGAGGCTGAACATCATGGTGGAAGAGTGTGGCAGAGGGCAGCAGCTCATATGATAACCAGGAAGCAGAGAGAGACTTCACTGCCGAAGACAAAATACATACTCCAAAGCTAGAGCCACCTCCTCCAGCCTCACCCTACCAGGCTTCAGTCACCACGTAGTTAATCCCATCAGGAGATGAATTCACTGATTGGGTTAAGCCTCTCATAACTTAATCATTTCTCCTCTAAACCCAATCATTATCTCACACATGAGCTTTGGGGGGACACCTCACATCCAAACCATAACAGAGTGGAGTTATTGTAGGACAAAGTAACTCTAAATTGAACTTTTTTTTTTTTTTTTTTTTTTTGGTACCGGGTACTGAACTCAGGGGCATTCAACCACTGAGCCACATCCCCAGCCCTATTTTTATTTTATTTAGAGACTGAGTTGCTTAGCGCCTCACTTTTGCTGAGGCTGGCTTTGAACTCTCGATCCTCCTGTCTAAACCTCCTAAACTGCTGGGATTACAGCGTGTACCACTGCACCTGGCTTCTACATTTAACTTTTTGAGGAACTGCCAAACTGTTTTCCCTGGTAATGTTCCATTGTGCATCCCTACCATTAATGTATGAGGGCTCCCCATTCTCGCATCTTCTCCAACACTTACGGCCTGTCTTTGAATCCATTCATTCTAGTGGATTCCAGTAGTTTCTCACCGTGGTTTTGATCTATAATTTCTTAATGGCTAATGATGCTGAGTATGTTTTCATGTGCTTCTTGTCCAAGCATTCATTTCATCTGTCTATCCCTCCTTCCTTTCTTCCTTTTCTTTCTTTTTTCAAGAGGTTTGAGTTTTTCATTTTTTTTTTTTTTAATTTCAAGGTTATTTGGCAGTTCTGGGTCCCTTGTATTTTCATTTAAATATTAAGATCAGCTTGTTAATTTTATTCTAAAAGTCAACTAGCATTTTGATAGAGATCACATTGAATCTATAAATCAATTGGATAGATTGTATTCTTAAAATATTAAGATTTCAGTGAACATAAAATTGTCTTTTCATTTATTTATATTTTCTTTGGTTTCTTTCAGCAGCGCTTTATAGTTTGCAGGTAAGTCTTATATATCTTTAGTTCAATTTATAGCTAAGTATTTTATTCTTTTATTTTTCCTGTACCTGGAATTAGTTTCCTAATTTCATTTTTGGAATGTTCATTGCTAGCATGTAGAAATGCAATTGATCGTCATGTCCTGAGCTGCCTTCCCGTCACCCTTCCATCCTACAACATGCTGTGAGTAGAGAAGTTTTCTTTCTTTTCTCCTTTTTCTTTTCTTTTCTGAGACAGAGTCTAAGTTGCTTAGGCTCTTGCTAAGTTGCCCAGGCTGGCCTTGAACCTGTGATCCTTCTGCTTCAGCCTCCCCAATGGCTGGGATTAGAGGTGTGCACCCCTGGACCTGGCGAAATAGTTTTATTTTTCCCTTCTAATATGGATACTTTTCATTTCTTTTTCTTACCTGATTGCCCTAACTAGAATAATGTTAGGTAGCAGTGATGACAGACAACATCCTTATCTTATTTGTGATCTTAGGAGGACATCATTCAGCTTTCACCGTTAAGAATGATATTAATTATAGCCAGGTATGGTGGCCCATGCCTGTAATTCTAGTCCTTCAGGAGGCTGAGGCAGGAGGATCATGAGTTCAAAGCCAGCCTCAGCAATTTAGCAGTCCCTAAGGGTCTCTAAATAAAGTATAAAAAAGGGCTGGGGGTGTGGCTCAGTGTTTGAGTGCCCCTGAATTCAATCCCCAGTACCAAAATAAAAGAAAAAGGAATGATGTTAATTGTGGATTTTTCACAGATTCCTGTTATCAGGTTGTGGAGCTTCTCTCCTATTCATTCTTTTTTGAGTGTTTTATCATGAGAATGTGCTGGGCACATACCCTTTTCTTTATCTATTGAGATGATCCTATGGCCTTTTTTTTTTTTTAAATATATTTTAGTTGTCATTGGATCTTTTATTTTATTCATTTATTTATTTGCAGTACTGAGGATCGAACCCAGGGCCTCATGCATGCCAGGCAAGCACTCTACCACTGAGCCAAAACTTCAGCCCGGTCCTAGGGCTTTTATCTTTTATTCTATCAATGTGATATATTACATTAATTGATTTCCAAACATGAGGCAACCCTCAGGATTGATGATTCACAAGGACTCTGAGGACTCTGCATATGTCCTATTCCCAGCTGAGATTTATCATAGTGAAAGGACACAAAGAAAGATCAGCCCGGGGAAACAGCACATGGGGCAAAGTCCAAAGCAAAGCAGGCACAAACTTCCAAAGTGCTTGTCCAGTGGAGTCAATAGATGACAAGCCTGATTCCTCCAGCAGCAAGCTGTGACAACGCGTCTGAAATGTCTGCCAGAGAAGCTCACGTGAGACTCCAAGCTCGAGGTTTATTACTGGAGCTGGTCACGGAGTCAGCTTCTGCCTAGCACATACCCAGATCACAGACTCCCAGAAGGAAAGCAGGTATTTAGCCTGAACCACATTCTTTGTGCAGTGGAGGTACAGCAAGCCACTCTTACCAGTCCTTAAATCCCTGTTCCCAAATGCCAGCCAAGGATAGAGTTCAAAAGCAGGCATTTCAAAGGATAGCCGTCTCAACTCTACCATATTAACTTTCTTCTGCAGAAGATGTTAAACCACTTTAGCATTCCCAAGATAAATCCCACTTATCATGGTGCATAATCCTCCTGCTTCTGTTTCCCTAGTAGCCAGAATACAGCCATGTGCCACCATGCTGGACACATAATTTTTATATATTGTTGGATTCAATTTCCTAGTATTTTGTCCAGGATTTTTGTATTTAAGTTAATAAGGTATATTGATCTGCAATTTTCTTTTCTCATGAAGTCTTTATCCAGTTTTGCTCTCAGGTTGTATTGGCTTCTTCTAATGTTTGGAAAGTGTATCCTCCTATTTGTTAGAAGTGGATAAAAGATTAGTATATTAGTTTCCTATTGCTGCTGTAAATAAGTTACCACAACCTTAGTGGCTTAAAATAGCATAAATTATTTTTTTATAACTCTGGAGATTGAAAGTCCAAAATGAGTCTCTCAGGGATAAAACAAGGTGTCAGCAGGCTCGTTCCCTCTGGAGGTTCCAGGAAACATCCATTTCCGGTCCCTTCCAGTTTCTAGAGGTTGCTCATGGCTTTTTCCTCTATCCTCAAAACCATCTGAGTAGAGTTTTGTTTTGTTTTGTTTTTTGAACTAGGGATTACCCCAGAGGTGCTTAATCATTGAGCCACATCCCTATCCCTTTCTATCTTTTATTTTGAAACAGGCTTTCTCTAAGTTGCTGAGGGTTTTACTGAGTCACTGGCCTCCAACTTGCAATCCTCCTGCCTCAGCCTCCTGAGTTCCTGGGATTACCGTCATGCGCCAAGCATGCCCAACTGAGTAGTGGCTTTTCTTAGACTGTGTTCCCTCTGCTCCCTCTGCTTCCTCCTTCTTACAGCCTAGATCCAAGTCTTCTGCATCCCTGTTATAAAGACCCTTGTAATTACATCAGGCCCAGAATAATCTTTGCATTTTGACATTCTGAATTTAACCCCATTTGTAAAATGCCTTTTTCCAGAGAAGTGAGCATTCATAGGTTCTGTGGATCAGGACATGGGTATCTTTAGAGCTGGTATCCAAATACAAAAAAATTAAAAAGAAAGAAAGAAAGAAAGAAAGAAAGGAAGGAAGGAAGGAAGGAAGGAAGGAAGGAAGGAAGAGAAAGAAAGAAGGAAAGAAAGAGAAAAAGGAAAAAACTGGTCATTTTTCAGTAGACCACAGTTGGTGTTAATTCTTTAAATATTTGATAGAATTCTCAAGTGAAGCTCTCTGGCCTGTGGGAAGTTTTTAATGACTAATTGGATATCTTTACTTGTTATAGGCCTACTCAGATTTTTCAATATTTTTTTTATTCTTTATTTTATTTATTTGTTTTTATGTGGTGCTGAGAATCGAACCCAGTGCCTCACACATGCTAGGAAAGTGCTCTACCACTGAGCTACAACCCCAGTCCTCAAGATATTTTTGAGTTAGTTTTGGCAATTTGTGCTTTTCTAGAATTTGTCCATTTCATCTAAATTATCTAATTTATAGTACAGTTATGGTATTCTCTTACAATTTTTTATATTTCTATAAGTTTATGTCAGTGTATTTTTATTTTTAAAATTTTGATCAGAATCTTGCTAACTTGCCCAGGTTGGCCTTGAACTTGTGATCCTCCTTCCTCTGAGTAGCTGGGGTTAAAGGCATACACTACTGTATCAGGCTAATTTATTTTTTTAATTAAAATT